GCGTCTTGTGATTCCTCTTTAGGCTCTAGATATAGGTGGACGTGGTGCTATACCGATTAACCTTTTGGTAAAGGGACAGTGCCCACGTCCTCCGTTGCTTATCGCTTATAGTGTGGTAAAATACAGCACCTGCAAATCGTCGCATCACAAGCAGTCGTTTCCTAACCATAAAGAATCTGATGTGTACACCACATGACTTTCTTGTACAGAATGTTGCATTATACGCATTTTTTCTTGCATTTCATTTAAACTTATTGGATTGAATTAAATCTATTTCGCCGACAGCGCATAAACCTAATAGAAAAAATGCATTCTTTAGAATTCACTCTATTCGTTTACCATAGCGACACTCTGGCGCTAAGTTCACTTAACAGTATTATATTTCGTTCATATTATAACTCAGAATGAACAAAATTTATATAATTTAAAGAATTATCTACTCGTTGTCACATGTTATATTCAAATACTATAATAAAGCTAGAACGATGTATAAAAGAAATTAAGCAAACATCAAAAAAAGAAATAGTTTTCATAGACGATTGAGTATTTCTCTTTCAGTTAATTCAGTTCTCCCTTCGCGACAAGGCAAAAATACATAAAAACTCAAAATATCTGTATTAAAAATTACGGAGTAAATCTTAAACACTTAGTTCCTCGAAAGAATTCCAGAAAGGATCAAGAATGATTTAATTCTCAATAATAAATGGAGGCGTTATCTTTGTTGTTGCGAGGCTACGTTTCTCTAGATTCGCAACAAATCCACTATCCTGCTGTTTCAAATGTAAACAAGCAATGGCCGCCATCAAGTATTAGGCTTAGCGGCTCTTAAACAACTTTAAAATTGTTGATAATTCTAAAACTATTGCATACAGATTTACTAAAGGCATAAAAACCTTAACCGTAAGATAAGAACAACATAATTCAATCATTTTTAAAGCAAAAAAATGAAAATTTACAAACATATAAGAGTAAAGAAACTGAGATCACTGAGCCGGATAACAGAGTGGATATATATATATATATAAATATATTTATATACGTTGATGCGGCCGATTTTGACCAAAATACGAGGTGCACATCTACATGTTATAGCAGACCTATGTACAAAATTTCAACGTTTTGAGGCTACTCGTTTTTGAGTTATGTGAGATACGTACGTACATACGTACATACGTTCGTACAGACGCTACGAAAAATTCTCTTCAGAATTCATTTTAAAGCAGTTTATAATTTTTTTGGAGGTAAAGAGTATTTTATTCTGTCCTTACGTACAGATATCACGCAAAAACATCGTTAAATTGCATTTGATATCGCTCAAAATGGATATTTTCGTTGAAATATGCTGCCTGAAGCTTTTCGCGATTACAATACTTCCTTTTTACTTCGTACAAGGAAGTAAAAATTAGGTGATTTTTGGCATAGTGATTTTTGAGAGTAAGATAAAATAAGTAATAATTTTATCGTTGTAGGCCATATTTTTTCATTAATTAATACATGTTTTCTGAAAAGGCAAGATACACTTCCAGCATGGGCTCTCGTTGAATGAACTCTAATATAATTCTAATTTTTTTTTTTTTTTTCAAATCAGGCGTTCACTCTCTCAGCAAAGTGAAACAGTTCGTAAACGAATAGCACGTCTCTCTTCCTGAAACACTTTCAACAAGAATTCTCCATGAAATGCAAAAGAGCTACTACTTCGTTTTCTGGAATCACTACTCATTCGCTCAATAAAGCGAATTGGTTCTTCAGCCAGTTCCAGAGAGAATCGTCCAACTCCATTCATCACCAAATGGACCTGGTCGGCTTTAGTCTGGGCTAAAATTATGATTTTATGCAGTAGGCCTATGAATAGGGAAGACTGTAAAGATTAGTGGACTGTGCTAAAGTATACTGTGCTTGTTTAAGAAATCAGCATGTCCACCTAGCATTGGAAGACCTAAAATATTTCGGTCAGAAAAGAGAGAAGAAACCTTAGAAACAAAAATAAGTTGTATTGAATTGTAGTGAGTGAGAACTCGTATAAATTGAAAATTCTTTAACTTTCTTGCTATTTGAAGTACAGCAGAACTGACCGTAAATTACCATACATTCAAAAATGACTTATGATAATGAGCATTTTCTAAAAAGAAGTTTTTTAGGGATTCATATGCTTGCATTTTAATCATACACATATCTTTAAGTTTTTCCTTAATGGACACTATATTCTCACCATTTTAACGTATTATATTTTGAATAAAAAATTTAAAAAATAGTTTTACCGAAATATATTCTACCTGTTTGAAAAAAAGATTTATATATATCGAAACTTCACGTAAATTCCTATAAATTTTAGAAAATGTCTTCTAGCGCAATGTTGTGTTTAGATAAATCTATAAAGAATGCGATTAATCATTCGATTTTAATTTAATTACACCTTCATTATTATTTCTTTGAATTACAGACTTTCCTAAATGCTAAATTACATATTAAATATTAAATTCCATGAAATATGAACACTTTTGAAGCTAAAACTTGAAAAAATTTGTTCCTTTTGAACAGAATTCATTCTTTAATATGACGTGCTTCTTCTTCAAAAAACATTGAAGTCCACATTTTTTCTAAACTTTTATTTCCTACAGAACAGCTTTCAAATAAAGTTAATTTTACCTCAGAGTTTCATTTACAAACAACCATTTTTATTTTTAACTTTTCTGTCTGGGAGGAGAAAAAACTGCTCTTTTATGTGCTTCAATTAAGTTAGGGAAAAGAACAATAATCGAGTTTCCTCAAAATTGAGCTATAAGCTTGCTGGAAAAGATTTATCACGCACAATTCCCAGCTCCGTTTCCATAGTAACGAACATCATCATTCAATTGCTTCGAATAAGTTATGTCCGAATGGACAAGCAGTTTCCGACCCCCAATGGTCATTGATGAGATTGACTCTAAATGTCACCAGTTCGAGTTTAGCGGTTATTTATTGCGTTTGGCGCGTTTTCTCTGACAACAAATACCCTATTCCGTGCAATGAGACAATATGACATTTCACCTTCTTCGAAATGAAGATTTGTCGGGAAATTACAGAAAATTCTGAAGCCAGAGAAAAATCGCGTTTTTTATGTTTATTAGAGATTCGTTACTATGTATAAGGGCAAAATAATTTTGCACCGAAATCTCATATTCTAATTTCTGCTGAAGCTGCGCATTTCTCTTCAGCTAAATAATAAAAAACGTTTTAAGAAGGAAGAGTATATACCCACATCTCGTGACTTCCAACCAATTTATAGAGTTTGACCTTCTTTGGTAACATAAACTAGTATCACACTTCTAACACACTGGGAGAGAATTATCGCCGTGCCTGAAGTAATAAGAGTCTTAAAAAGGGTTAAAACAATCTTTTTATTAACACAGAACTTTAATTTAAACGAAATTCTTGGGCTTAACCAAATAAACTTGTGGCGATGTAACTTTAAGTAACAGTCAAATTCAAATTTAAAGCAAAGCCTCGCCGTCAAAGACTACGCAACTGGTTTTAACTGATTTTAAGTTGATCCAAAGCTTCTCACCCGCGTAACAGTTAAATATCGGCAGCAATAACGCAGAGCCGAAGAATTTCAGTCTTAATCAGAGCAAGCGAAACCTAGTAACGTGGCCTCAAGAGACAGAAACATGATCTGTCTTGAAATCCGAAACTCTCGATTTAAATACTTATGAGGTATTTCTCCCACTTCCCTAGCGTGCCTTCGTGGTGTAACGGTAGCACGCTGGGCCGGTATTCCAGAGGTCTGTGGTTCGATTCCCGGCGAAGGCGGTTGCTAATTTTTCACCTCTACGGCTTCCAAAAATGCTTCTTCTAGAATGCTTCAATGTCTTGGCTTGTTATGACCATGAGACCAACTTGTTTGGTTAAGTGCTTCGAGCTGCGCCCATTTCTGGTACCTTATGCAGTCATAACAAAATGCGACATATTTCAACATATTATATATTCATCAAATTTTAATGTTGATATTTTATATATAAAGAGAGGAATAACATTTAATAGAAATTGTAAGCTTTTAAAAATCATTTGAAGTACATAACCTCTGCTATAGTTCACCTTACTGTGAAGATGGTTATTAAATGCTATTAAACTGGGAATTTTTATATTTGACTCTAAAACACAATGCTGGCCATTAAAATTTCAACACCAGGAAGGAATGATCTGATGAACGTCAAAATTACATGAAAGGAAGAAGAAGTTGGGAAATACAAATGATTATTAATTCAGCGCATTTAGACGATGTAGGAAGGAATAACAACATCTGAAGCCTTGAATAACGAAAAGTTTTGTAGGGGATTTCTCAAAATTTCTTTGTAAGGTTGGAATTTGCTCAGAATATCGTGTTATGCCTCGAATAAGAAAAGGAAATGCTTACCAGCAAGTTTCGAAATTAGATAGAGGAAAGATCGTTGCCTATTGAAAGTGTTGACTACCGTTCCGAGATACCATCGGTCTCACTGATCGACATCCAACAACTGGCATGCGAATATGTAATCAATGGATTACTGAGGGTCATACTGAACAGCATGCAGGATCTCAAAGCCCACCCATGACTAACGCCAGAAAGGATAAACATATTATGAGGTTAGCCCTGCAAAACCGTACGACTATATCACAAACCATTGGTCAGGAAATGAGCATATTTGCAGCACGCCCAGTATCAGCTCGTAAGGTGCTTCGACGTTTGCAGCAGCGTAGAGAGAGATGGCGACTCTGGTGTGCCGATCAAAAAACTGGATACAGGAGTGGCACAATGTCGTCTTTTCTGACGAGTGCTGGTTCTGCATGCAGTATTCTGATGGCCGTATGCGTGTCCGGAGCCTCCGAGAAGACCGCACGTCATATGCTTGCACTCGTTATTGACATAGGAGCCCTAAACCTGGTGTGATGGTTTGGGAAGCCATTGGGGTACACGAGGCGCACATCTCTAATTCGAATCGACGGTAATTGGAACGCAGATCTGTACATTTCTGACATCTTACGTCTGGTGGTTGTGGCTTATCTTTTGACCTCCAAACGCCATGTTCCAACAAGATAATGTAAGACCACATGTTGCACGTTGTATTTTGACCTTTCCCGATACACAGGGTATTCGATTACTGCCCTGGTATGCACGTTCTCCAGATCTGTTACCCATTGAAACATCTGGACATGGGTTGCTGTGAGACTGAACGGTCACCCCTCTCAAGCTAATATGGTTGATGAAGTGTGGCATAGACGTGAAGCAGTATGGAATGATTTGCCCATTTCTGTCATACAAGCCCAGTTTGACTCCATGTCTAATGAAGGGCTGTTTTAGCTGCCAAGAGTGGCAGCTGTTTCTAGTAATTTCGCACCACTGTAAACCACCAAATTGCTTACAAATTTAATCATTTTGTCTTCATGCCATACTGTTTACGGGCAATAAATATCATTTTTGTATTTGTTTTCCTTCATGGTATTAAAATATAGTAATTTTAATGCCCAGCAGTGTAATTTCGAAGATTTTAATGACCGTATTTGCTCGAATCTTGTTTATCTTTTCTTTTTTTTTTATTTATTTAGTTATACGATAATTAAGAGAAAACAATCATGCGAATACGTTAATGTTATAATATAATAAATGATGCATTATGTAAGAATATATCAAATGATAGTAGTCATGGATGAACTTCACCTAAGTATCACAATATTGATTCTTAACAGAAATACTCTAACAAAATGCATAATAATATTAATATTACAATATAAGACACCTTTATTTCTGCTTTCCTGTAACTTGAATCTCGAGCATTCTTATAGTCGTCTTCGCTAATACTTAGGCCTCAGATCATTCATAAATAATTGAAGAAAGTGAAAATTCATCTGACTCAGAGAACCTACAGTTTGCAATGTCAGTTCGAGTTTATTTCGCTGGGATGAGTCGGTATAAATTCCATAGTTAGAACAAAAATATTCTGCACGAGTTTCGCAGGTAGTTTACGAGGTTCTGTCTTTATTAGTATGACGGAACCAAATGTTAAGTCTTATGAATTAACCATGCTTCTATAATTTTTCATTTATTTTCATTAATTTTCTGACAGATGAATATAAATTTGGGGAAATTCTAATTTATGTTACCAGCTCTTTATGCATAAAAGGAAAATAATTTTTCAACAGACTTCTTTTGTTACCAATAAAATAAAATACAACTACGAATAAATAATTGCCAGTACGAAAGTTGAGTATTATTTTAAAAAATACCTTGGATTTAGTGTAGAACAGAATGAAAACTCCAGTGCTTAATAGTTGACATTCAAAATTGTTTAATCAACTGAACTGAGAAATAACGGTTCTTCAAAATAATAATCATATGATTATAAAATAAAATAAAAAAACTATTTCAAATACAACCTTTTTACATTAATTTAAAGTACAATTTAAGATACTATGTTTTGAATAAAACATCATATAAATAAATGTGTCACTTCGACTGAGTGCGCAAGAGAGTATTCGATGAACCCAATTTTGATTGAATGTATGCAATAACGCGAGACTAATGTCGCAAATTCAGTCTTCAAGATACATATTCTTAATGTTTCAAGGTTTCTTCACATAGACGTTCAATTCAAATAACATGTCAAAAAGTAATTTAAAGGAATTAAATCACTGTTTCTGAGATGCTAACTAACAGTAGCATTTCATAGAATTATCCTTTCACCATACTGTTTTTGCAGTCTTCGATAGTACGCGTATCATCGTTTGGATTGTATTTCATGTCTTCCAAATTTGACAACAAAAAAAAATTGTTATCACCTCAAGCGTCACTCACTAGTCAGTGTATCTTCGTCCCCATTTGAGGAAAAAAAGGTCTGATGATGCCATTATGCCACAAATCATATCATACCGTGATCTTTAGTGAATGCGATGGCTTTTTATATTTCTCTCGTGCATTGTTTCCACACAAAAAACGAGAGTTTTGTGTAACGTATCCATTCAAGCAGACATGAGCTTTATATGTAATCTGAGAAGATATACTTTTGCTCAAAATTTTTGGATTATAATCGAACAAGCGCATGTTACAGTGACAAATTTTAAACATAGTTACTGTTTTGTTTTAATATCATTTCATTAATATTGGAATATCCTACGTTACTCGCTCTATCTAAGAAACAGCTACATTTTCTATTGAACAGAATCATTCTATTGTCAAAAGGAGAAAAAGTATTTGCGTCTTAAGTCCGAAAATACTTCACTAGTACCTCAAACGAACACTGACACAAATAGTTTCTGTTTTATTCAGAGATACTACTAACGACATAAGAAGAAATGGCCTTGGCTATAAATGTGGACAAAAAGCCGACACGATTTCCATTTCTGGAGGACAGCTGTTGATTTAATCATCAATTCTGAAGTATTTTCCGTACCATATTTAATAGGAATTATGTGATAGAAGAACGTTTGACTATCTTCCGAATTACTTTGATTTTACGCCTGAGTTGAAGCAAAGTAAATTAACTCAAGATGTTTTTTTCATGTAAGTTGACATATAATTAAAACATATAAATTAGTTTACTTATTTATTGCCTCTAAAAGATTTAGTAAGGTATTTTTATATGTAACTAATAAAATTGTTTCTTTCAGGATCTACAGAAAAGCTGGAGATCAATCAGATTATTTTATCAAAATTTTATTTTGCAATTATTACGGAAAGAGCAAGAGAGAAACGACATATTACGTCTCAGCATTTTCAGCTCTGTTTAATATATAAGTTAAAACTATATACTCTTTGAAATTGGTCCAGTATATGACAGTAAAATCCTTGCAACATGTACATAAATTTAAACTGCAAATTAAATTTGTGTGCGCGAACAATCATTTATAGTACTGAACTAGAGCTCATAAATTCCTACTAAAAATTACAGTTCTGCATGCAAAACTTTTATTTTCTCTGCATCATAATAAATGTGATCGAAAATATTTAAATAATCAGGGATAATATATAAACAAGCTGATGAACTCTCCTTTTATTAATTCTAAAATTTTTCATTTAATTTCATTTAATCCCTTACTCATTCTGTTAATATTGCTTTATTAATTTACTATTTTTGTTTCTTTTATAAATTAAAGAAAGTATTGTAATCGCGAAACATTTTGGGTATAAAAGGAAATATTCATTTTGACAGCTCTCGAATCCATTTGGACGATTTGTTTTGAGTAACATCTGCACATAGATGCAGAATAAAGCACTGTTTTTCCAAAAATAATTATAAAATGGATTTAAAGTAGATTCAAAACTGTTTTTTACTTTATAAAGTCTGTACACTGCGAAAAAAAAAGGGGGGAAGGGCAGTTGTATATCTATCTCTACTGGGTCGCTTGACAAAACTCAAATTTGTTTTTTATGTCTCGAAAACGCACTTTGGATATATATTATATTTATATATAGCATTGTTCTAACATAGGTATTTTGACACAAAATCGGACTTTTTTTTTAAATAACATACCAACCATTTTCCTTATTTCGATTCTACGATTCAAATTATGCCTAGATATTAAATTTTGTAAAATTTGGTGCGAAATTTACGGAGAAATTCAAAAATTTATCTTGGCGCACTTTTTTTCAATTTGCGTCAAGAATAATTAACTCGGCGCACTTTTCAATGTATAGCAACCAATTTTCCTTTCCCTTCCATCATGCCGGAACGGAAAAAATCACACCTTTTCACAATGTGCGTCTCCGGGGAAAACATCACATAGTTCTTAATTTCAAATAATTTTAGCAAAGTGTCTAAACCACAATTCATGTTTTATTGATTCCACCGAACATGCTAAATTTCAAAACGTGCCAATATATAAATTCACGTATATCTTCGGAAATTTTCAATAAAAAGCTGTAATTTTTTGCTGGTGTGTTTAGAAATAGGTATACATTAAGTTGATTTTAAATATTTTATAGATTATAATTCAAAATGGTTTTCGAAAAATTTGTAAAAATTTTTTAAAAATACAAATTTTAAAAATAAATCATAAAAGTAGGTGAATTTTATTTGGAATAAACCTGAATTTCGAAATGTCAAAGGAAGAATCAAATAAATTTTATAAAAAAAGAGAGATTAATAATTATATATCAAACACAATTAACACTGAGGAGCTGAAATTTGAGAGCTAATTTTTTAAAAACTACACTTGCGATTTTTACAAAACTTGGTAATTTCGCGTAATTTAAGTCGTAGAATTGAAATATGCAAAAACATTGGCATGTTATTTCAGAAAAAGTCCGATTTTGTGCAGAAATACCTATGTTATTTGTAGAATCGTCTGAGTGTATGTATGAATGTATCTCGCTTAAACTCAAAAATGACTAGCCGTAGAAAGTTGAAATTTTGTATGTGGGTCTGTTATAACATTTAATTTTGCATCTCCTTTTTTTGTTACAGTCAGCCGCACGAAGCATCTCTCTCTCTCTCTGTATATATATATATATATATATATATATATATATACCTATCCTCTTACCCAGCTAAGTGAGCTCTGCATTTTGATTTTTATGCGTTGGTAAATTGTGCATTTTTGTTTTAAAAATGATTGAATTATTTTATTCTTATGATTCGAATATAATAGTGCTAACAAACAAAAATTGAGATCGATACATTTTAATGAATAAAGAATTAAATAAAAACCAATTCAATCAGAGAATTTAAAGAAACGTTTTAGAAGAAAACGTTGTATAAAACCTAGCACAAAAATTTCATTTTTAATGCGTGCAAAATATCTTGCATAGTCTCTATGCACATCTGAGTCATGTATGCTTTCGTGTCTGTGCCTAACTTCTAGCAAATTTTGGTTTCGCGTACATAAATTTTATATCATTATGTGCCACTATATAATTAATTAATTGACAAAATGTGATGTGTTTTACCAGTTTGTACCTTTTTTCCGTCCCCTGAAAATAATGAATTTGAAAATAGTATCGCATGTTTATATCGGAATAACTGGCTGAAAGTTAGAGAGATATTTTTAAATTACACATAAAATATTCTGATAAGCATTTAATAATGTTAA